GCTATTGAGTGGTGAGTTACGCATCGGGCTGCTGACTGCAAGGTCAACCTCTCTGCAGGAGGACGATGCGGCGGCGTTCTACTCCATCAAACAGTTAACAATCCTGCCCTACAGGGGAGGACGTAGACTGGACAATTGTTTCGAGCAGGGGCCGCGGGGAGGCCAAGCAGTTGTTTTGTTAGGAGACACTGAGTCGGCTCCGACTGACCCTGACCCTGTGCACAGCAGAACGAAGCACCGCGCGGTCCTGCGCTGTCTGCCCGTTGTTCCTCTGCCTGAGCCGTTGTTGCGGCCACTGTGTCCGTCCATCTCGTTGAGGACCTTCCTCTTTGCCACCGCCCCTGCACTTTACCGAGCACCATGTCCTCCGGGGACTAGGCTCTCCTGACCATATATGTCCAAAGTATGTAAGACGAAGTCTCCTTATCCTTACCTCTGGCTCTGGACGTCCTTCTCCCAAGACAGATTCGTTTGTCCTTTTAGCAGTCCGTGGTACTTCGAATACCCTTCTCCAGCACCATCATTCGGCTGCACTGGTTCTTGTCTGGTTTTCCTCATTAGGTGCCCACGTTTCATGTGCACGTGGCGGTGGGAAAGGCCACGCCTGGTCCTCACCATGACGCCACCGCTTGTCAAGATTCTAAAATCTTGCCCAGCAGATTTGCCTAAGACAACGCAGCTCTGGCTCTCCTGGCTGCCGTTCTGTGAGCTTTGATTATGGAGCCGAGCAAAACAGAATCCTAGACAACGTCAACCACTTGTCTGCCAGTGTGTCGTGCTGTGGTTTGGCTTGTGCGGTGCTGGAAGCTGTGTCCCTGGCATTTCAAGTGCCCGCAGGGTCACCCAGAGGGAACAGGTCTCCGCGGAGCCTGCAGACAGAGAGCGGACGGTGAATAAGGACCCCGCTGCACAGGGCAATCAGAGATGCCTGTAACTCTCAGTCTGGCTTCAGGAGTAAGGTGGTGGCCTTGGACTGCAGGCCCCTGCCCTGTGAGTCACGCTCACTCCTCAGGACCTGTGGTCAGGGTTCTGCTGCGAGTCTTTTGTGTGGCTAGTGCACCCTCTAGTGGCTGTGTGCAGCTCTGGCGCTGCGTGCCCACGATGCCCTAGGATGGGACGATGCCCTAGGATGGGAGTCGGGCTGTCTGGAGGGTTTCCTCGCCCGCCTGCAGTCCTTACGGGGAGGGATGGCCAGGTCTGTTCTCCAGCAGAGTGATTGGTGAGTTCCAACCACTACTTCTCAATCAGACTCTGACTCTGGGTCCACCCGGGCTCCTTGAAGCATCTTCCAGAACCCAAACTCGCTGCCCTCCAGTCAGCAACTCATGACCCTGTAGGACAGGGCAGAACTGCCACTGTGGGGTTCCGCAGCTCTTTGTGGGAGTAGAAAGCCTCGTCTTGCTCCCGTGCATGGAGCAGCTGGTGGCTTCGAACTGCTGGCCTGGAGGGTAGCAGCCCAGCGTGAAGCCTGGGCTAAGCACCTTAGTGCAGATGCTGTTAGGTATCGCCTAGTTGGTTCTGCCCCGGCAAGGGACGGAGCAGCAGGGCCGTGACCTGGGGTTTCCCAGGCTGCCGTCTGTCCGGGAGCCATTCGACAGCTCTTTCTTCTGCAGCGCCACTGGGGGTTCCAACCACTGCACTCTCCCGGGGGCTCCTTCTCCACCGCGCTCACGGTCCCCCTGCCTCCTCTTCCCCCAGGGCATCGCGGGCACAGATGTGGCGAAGGAGGCCTCGGACATCATCCTGACCGACGACAACTTCACCAGCATCGTCAAGGCCGTGATGTGGGGGCGCAACGTCTACGACAGCATCTCCAAGTTCCTGCAGTTCCAGCTGACGGTCAACGTGGTGGCCGTGATCGTGGCCTTCACTGGGGCCTGCATCACGCAGGTGAGGAGGGAGGGCCGGGCCCCGGGGACAGGCCCCCTATCGAGGAGTAGAGACCAGGGCTTCCCCGGGGCACGGGGGCAGCAGTGAGCTCTCCTGGGCCCACGGTCTCCATCCATTTCTGGAGAGCGGGAACCACGTGCCCTTTGTGTGTTTAGCACACAGGCCCCAGCCACTGATGAGCACTTAAATGCGCTCCCTCGCCAAGAACAACCTTCCGAGGTTGGTGTTCCTGCCCCTGGCCCGGAGGTGGGAAACTCGGGGCTCACAGAGGCGCCGTCTCCTTCTCAGGGTCACTCACTGACACGGGGCAGGGCCAGATGCAAAGTCCAGGTGGATCGAGAGAGTTCAGCCACCCCAGGAGTGAGGGTGGGGCAGCTGTGTAAGGTGGGGTGGTTTTCTGAGGAAAGCTGAAAAGATTTGGCTGTCCTTCCCACCAGGATTCGCCCCTGAAGGCCGTGCAGATGCTGTGGGTTAACCTCATCATGGACACTTTCGCCTCGCTGGCCCTGGCCACAGAGCCCCCGACAGACTCCCTGCTGAGGCGGCGCCCCTACGGCCGAAATAAGCCTCTGATCTCACGCACGATGATGAAGAACATCTTGGGCCACGGAATCTATCAGCTCACCATCATCTTTCTCCTGGTCTTTGCTGGTGAGTGGGGGTGGGGAGGGGAGGCCGGGCACAGGAGGCCACGGGGCACGGCAGGGCCTGAGGCCAAGGACAAGAGCGCTTGACTTAAGGAGGCTGTTTCACGATGTGCTGTCAGTCCTAACCCCTGCACTGGTGTGGACTCTCGTTTAGGAATAGCGTCTTCTCGGCTAAGAGGCCTAGCAGTGTAGGTGTGTTTTAACCCAGTCACCTTTGAGAGGACTACATTGCAGGTGAGGCGGAGAGATGGGGGAGACAGTGAGGTCTAGGGATGGAGGAGATGCCAGGCCCCATAAAGATCACCCAGGAAAGAGGAGAAGCTCAGAATAGACCAGGATCTTCCTCCAGAGTGGGCAGAGAGGAAACCTTAGCTCAGAGCTGGCGCCCTGCACCCAAGCCCCCTAAGGGGGGAGAGAATCAGCTCCCATTGGTGGAAGCTGCCCACTGGGGGTTCTGCTTTAAACCTTGTCTCTCCAGATGAACCTCTCAGGACCAGGGGTGACAGTGGCGATACCA